CAATGAGGGGGGCTCTACACTTGTCACTTTCCCTGCATTTAACTTTCTTGACGGAATTGCATGGAATAGAAAATATGAATACACAGGGAATGCCCCCCGTGTCTGGAGCTACCAGCTATTCTAAAATGAAATTTTGGACAACAGTTGGTACTTAAGTCTTTGTTAAACTAATTTGCAAACTATGCTGATAGTTTCTTAGCCGTTTATTTGTTTTATGTTCCATTCTCTGCCATAGGTGAATAAGTTTTTATATCTTGCCTATTTCTGGATGAGTCTTGTCCTCATATAGAATTCAGTTTAATTTTTTGTCTTGTGATATCAGCTCTCTTATGGGCACAAGAAAAATTTGTAGTTTATATGGCTTTTTGAAAGGTTAGAGAAGAAGCACTATTTTTCATCTTTGAACATCTTCAAGGAAAAGTAAAACTTAAGCCAATGCCAGTTTAGGAGAAGATGCAGCATAAACTTTTGAAACCATGTTTTCACTATTTTCCTAGCCCTCCTTCTGCCCTACTTCTCAAATTAATGCTCTATTTTTATTCCAATATCTTGCTAGAAGTTAGAAAAACTCAGGTGGTGAGTGGCACATGTAAGGTAAACGTCTATGCCCTTGCATTGGCTATGGATTTATACTTATTTAATCTATTAAAAATACAACAATAAAATATTTTCATCGTATTTTGAACAGTATGGTGATTAACCAGAGTATCAGTCAAATGACAAATTAAGCAAGTGTGAGAAAAGAACAGGTGGAAAAATCAGGAGGCAGAGATGCTGACTCAGAACCACATAGAAGTGGTAGAAGAATTTAGGATACGAAGTTTCATCAGATCAGGCAGCTCGCTCTAGTGTCATATTCTTGGCAAGTGTTAGAGAAAGGTAGACTACATCTCCAACAGCAAATTGCAACAGTGTTGAAGAACAAAATATCTGACATCTAGCTCCACAAATGTGGTGATAGATATAATAGACATTAGGCCTCTTAATAACATGAGTAACACTTCCAAACATGGAGCTATATTTTCTCCTAGAAAATATAACATTTGAGTTTTACATGGATGTGTTAACTCTTTGCAATTATGTTTGGAATGCATGTCATGTTCCCAGGAAGTATGTTAGAACTGAGAATTTTATGTCTGCCAAAACTGTTTGAATTAGGTTTTGGGTTGTGGATTTTCCTGCTGGATCATTTGGAACCTCACTCAATTTTTGAATATGGCAATGAGAAATGCAGTTAAATTCTAAGCTGAGCCTGAAAGCAGAAATCTTGAATTACAGCAGAAAACTTGAGGAGGCTAAGTAGAGGGGAAAAGAGGAAAAAAAGATCTCTAAGAAGATTGCCTGCATCAGAACCTCAGGGTCTGATTGGGGTGCCTCCTCAATTTCTTTTCAAGTAACCATTTCTATCACTGTCCCTTCCATATGAATTGCTGGGTCTGGGCAATCATCCCAATTTCTATATTCTCACTTAAGTTCTGCTTGTGTTATATCAAAACAACTACTAACAATGAGTCCAAGAATATGGATGTAAGAAAATTCTTCTTGGCAACATCATTTCTAGTCATCAAAATGTTTCAGGAAAGTGATTCCTTTTCTAGGAATGTTCTTAATGTAGGTTTATATGAAGATGTCTGTGTCTTTAGTGTGGAAGGAAATTTATTGATCACATATCCTATGCACTAGCTATTTAAGAATGCTTATAAAATCTTTATTTTGAAATTTCTTGCTATGAATTGACTTAAATCATCTATGATACAATATTTAGGTTCTTTTGAGTAGAAATCAATAGGCAATAGTTATAGGAGGGGGTTAGATGCTGTTCTTATGCCATCTTTCCATGTAAAAAAAAGGGGAAATTTCCAGGCCTCCCTGGTGGCACAAGCGGTTAAGCACAGCACTGTGAAGCTATCAGCAGCCTCTGCAGCAAGAGTTCGACCCCTGGCAGGCCAGGAAGCCTCTCCTATCTCACGTGCTGCTCCCCTCAGTAGTATATTTCAGTCATTCTGCCTGTTCTGTTCCCTACTCTGTCTCTGGTGACTCCTCTCACCCTGGCCTATACTCCAGTTCTTGTATGGATAAATAAATAAATCTTTATAAAAAAAGGAAATTTCCTAAGTAATTAAAAATAAAATTTTTCTCCAAATAAGGAAATTTATGAGTCAGCATACACAATATAATCCTACAAACTCTACTAATTCTTAGTGTTACGTTTTTTTGTGTGTGTGCTAAGACTACCTAGGATGAAAGTTTAACTAAAATGAATGAATGTAAATATGATATCAGTGTAATTCAGCTGACAGGTTAGTCAGACTTGGAAGACCAGTATTCTACTAATCTAGTGTTTAGACAGTGTTCTGTAGGTATCAAATCTAGGGTGCCATTTTTCAAAGTACATGCCTGGTTAGATTTTTAAATTAGCATCTTGTTACACAGCAAATATTTCTAAAGCATTTTAGTATCTATTTCAAAAATCACTAATTTCAAAAAAATCTATTTCTAATGAATTTATAGCTAATATATGGAGGTGATGTTTTTGACTGATCAATAAAGGCATCCAAAGCACTGGTCATAGCCACTGCTCGTAGTTATTCTTCTGATTATACCTAAATTCACTACCCTTTCAAAATTGTTCATCCCTTTACTTCAACAAACGTCTGTCAGTGGAAATACTGAAGGTGATAGGTGGTGCATAAAGGGAAGATTGATGGTTTTCAGTGTGGGCACAGGGAGATTGAGATCAGCTGTTCAGAGTAAAGAGTTCACTGGTTTACTGTTAGAAAGATGCATCTTTAATATTTTTCTAAATGAGGACTTTCAGAGATTTTATTATGTCTCAATCTGTAGTCATAAATATATATTTTCCTTGATATAAGGGGATACCATATATTAGCCAAAACATGGTAATAGTACTCCAGTCTAAAATTCCATGTAGGGGGAAGGGCATGTTCAATTGTGCAATTCTATAGACTGGTTCCTTGAACCAGTCTCAGAAAGCAAATAGAAAAAAAACAAACAAACACAAAAAACAGATCTGGATCAGTATTGATGCTTTATTTTAAAGAAAGAGACTATACAACCTCTTGCTGCAGGTTTGGTTAAAAGAACCACATTTAGTTTTCTTCCTGGTCTCCACAAAAATTAAAATCAATCTCCCAAATGATCTACATCTGCAAAGATACACAAAAGTTGAAGAAAAACACTCAAAGATTTAATTGTGTTCATTACACTAAACTTACATAAACCAGGATGTGGCTCAATCTATTTTGAAAGGATTTACAGCCTTAAAAGTTAAAACAAAAAGAAGCCTCTAGTTAACCTTCAATTAACCAAAGCTGCCTGGCACTTTCGTATTAATCAAGATTTTACTCTTTGCATTATTTTTATGACGTTCGTTTTATTTAGTTTCTTCAACGTATTTCTCAGAGGTGAAATAGCTCTATTTTATGGATGAAAATCAAATCAGAACGTGGAACACTGCCGTGTGACTTTCATAAAGTTGTCTCCTGAGGTTCTTTTCTTATTTTTTAAAATGACAATAATGAGGTCAATTCCACTGTGCTGTGCAAAACAGAGTAAATCTATGCAGAGAAGCAGGGCAGTGATGAAAAGACTAAAGGTTTTGGCACTGAGTATGAGTTCTGTGACTTTGGGAAAGGTATTAACATTCCTGAACTTCCATTTCCTCATCAATACAGTAAAAATGTGAATCCTCATCAGTGCTTTGCAATGCTAGGTGAATGAATGTATATAAAGAACTTGATTTATAGTAGGTAAAACAAAAAAAAAATACTGCTATGGTGTGAATGTTGTGTCCTGCAAAAATTCATATGCTAAATCCTAAAGCCCAAGGTTATAGTATCTAAAGGTGGGGCCTTTGTAAATGAGGTCATGAAGGCTGAGTCCTCATGACTGGGATTAGTGCCCTTAATAAAAGACTCTAGAGCAATCCTTGTCCCTTCCACCATGTGAGACTCTGGAAAAAGAATTCATCTAGAATGGGAACTCTCATGAGACTGAATTTGCTTGTGATTTTGGACTTCCCAATCTCCAGAATGGTGAGCAACGAATGTGTGTTGTTTATAAATCACCCAGCCACTGTTATATTATAGTAGCAGCCATCCAAACTAACATAAGCTTTTTTTTGTTCCGTTAGGAAAAGATACTAAAAATGACTGCAAAGTAGGAAGAGAACCAGTATTATGCTCTCTGTTTTAATAGTGTTTTTTGTCTCTTCTCTGTACTTAATATTCATGTCCATACTCATAAATTCTCATCTAGGTTCCTACTAGTTTTAGAGTAGATGAATTCTACAAAACTCTAAAATTACAAATCCTTAATTTTTTAAAAAAATCCTGCTCAAACAGTAAAGTTAGATTTCTGTGAGATCTCCATACATAACACCCATGAATTTGGGTGTTGGGAGATAAATTCAGTTATATTCTGAAGCAGTAATTCCAAACCACTTGCATCAAATTCACTGAGTAGCTCTTACATATTCCCAGATGCAGAGTCTCACCTCTGATTCAGGAAATCTGCAGTATATTGATGGAATTTGTGTTCTCAAGTGATTTTTTATAATTTCTCATAGTTGTGGTAAAATACACATATCTACCATCTTCATGATTATTAAGTGTAAAGTTCAGTGTCATTAAGTAGATTCATGTTTTTGCACAACTGTTACCAATCATTTGCAGAGCTTTTCACCTGGAAGTACTGCAACTCTGTGCATTTAAAAATAACTCCATTTTTTCCCAATCCCCTGATAATCATCATTTTATTTTCTGTCTCTATGAATTTGGTGACTCTAGCTATTTTATACAAACGGACTTGTGCGGTATTTTTCCATTTGTGTCTCACTTAACGTAATGTTTTCAAGATCCATTCAAGTTGTAGCGTGTTCAGAAATTCCTATTTATTAAGGGCTGAATAATATTTTATTATTTGTATATACCAAGTTTTCTTTGTTCATCCATCAATGGACACTGCCTCAAGGGCTTTTATTAAATATGGAAGACTTCATAAGTATGTGTGTCATCCATGTATAAGTGCCATGTTAATTCTCTCTGATTTTTCCAATTTTTGTATGTTGCTGCAAAACTGAGCATACCAAATGATTTTGGAAACCAGTGATACAACAGCTTTCCAGCCACACATTAGTGGGATATTAAATCAATATAATTAAGTGACCAGTATTTTATAAAAGACATAAAATAGAGAAAATAGAGTAAGAAAAATGACAAAAATGGGAAGTATTATTTCCAAAATTTTGTTTCTGTGTATATGTGTATTTGTTGCAGAAGGTGGTATGTGTGCTGTTTCCAGATATAAAGCTTTTATTATGGTTGTTCTCAGTCTACAAATGCAGAAGATCACTATTCAGCAAAACCAAAATAATGACTATGACAATAAGTAAATTTACCTCATGTTCCCACATTGAACTATGCTGTAGAATTCCGGTCATCTTGACTTTATTTTGAATATATTTAACAAGAGAGTGTACAAGAAAAGTAAGGAATTGAGAACTGCCTTTTGTGAACTGATGGGGACTCCAGACTTCACACAGGGGTTTGAATATTATTTATTAGTGTGTTGTTTTCACAATACTCTATCAGAAGTTATATACCAACTTGGCATCTCTCTGATGCACTAAGTTTTTGTAAAATCCAGAAGTAGATAGAGAATTGCTAGCAGCAGTAATGAAGAGGTGTGAATGCCACCAGATTCAGGATTCTGTTCAAGCTCAGGAAATGCCACCAAAATCAAAATTAATTTCCCCCTTTGGCATTTTTCTCAACCATATGTGGTTTTTCTAAATTATTGTGGTGATTTCTATCACTTTATTGAAAATATACAGGATGTATTTATCTAAGATAAATATGATTTTCTTGGTATGTTTTCTGAAATAATAGCATGCAATATGCATGAGAAAATAAGGCAATTATATAATAACTGTTTGTGAATTGTATTTGGTTCTGCCAGAATTTATGAAAGATATATGTTTAGCAGATGTAAATGTTTATATTAGACTCATATGGAACATAATTATTCATGTGCCTTTTTAAAAATATGGAGCTCCTGTTTATCCTCAGGAGAGTTGTTTTACTTTGCCTTAAAACGTTCATCACATGATTCTACCTCAAAGCCTCTATCAGTTGCCTGATGCTGAAACTGATATCTAACCAGGCAAACATAGTAACCTAAGTTCATGCTTTGTTTTAATTCACCGGGAAGAGGGTAGGATGGATTAAATGATAGAAATGTAGATTGATAGCTGAACAGATGATAGCATTACTGCACAATGATGTAGTTTAAATAGAAAATTGAAAAATTTTTAATTATAATAAATTAAGACATAGGTTTTAAATACGTAATGAGATCGTGTTCAGAACTATAGTGCTTACTACTTTATAAGAACATTTTGTATTGTGTATCTTTATGGTCTTCAGAAGTATGTGAGAAAGATCAGCTGTACACATTTTACAGGAGAGAACCAGACTCTGACATGAAGAGCCTTGTGACTCACCGGCCATGGGAGTATGAGAGGCAGAAGTCAGCCTGGGCTTCTCATCCGGGCATGGTGTGGCCAAATTGCTGCAGGAAACAAGAACAGTTCTTCACTACTGGTCAGCTTATCCTGAAAATCCCCTTATTTCAGGACCATTTGGCCAGATGGTTAACCCCTGTTAAGATTATTTATTATTACCTTCAAACCTCTCAGCAAAAAAATACACAACAAAAATAATTTTATTCTTTTCCAGTTTTGTAAACATGCTTTCAGTGGAAGTTCCCAAATGTGGGTAATGCACTAAAAAAACCACAAGGCTTTTGGAAAACACAGATTCAGGGACAGGACCCAGATTTATTTATAATTCACAGAATGCCTCACTCTGACAGTAGCCACCTTTACCGCATTCAAAATGTGTTTTTTTACCCAGAAATCTCTGTTTTCTCATAGTTCCACAGCCAATTCCGATGTTCAGCTTGGAAATTGCTGTTTTAGAGAACCGCTTTAGAACAGCATAAGAGGAAAACCAAATAAAAAAGACACTTGTTTATTTATATACCATAGTCTACAAGTCTGAAGAAATCCCAGGTTTAATTATCCATGAGTTTTACAAATCAGAGTACCTTTTTTATAAAGAGAAAGAATACATAACTATGAAGATGAAATTAGTTTTAAAAAAGAATATTTACTAAGAATGGGAAAATAGTCACAACAAATTACATGTTTTTAAAAAGCTTTAAACTACCACAAACATCATTATTTATTAACTGCCTGACATAAGGTTGTGCTTTGCAATAACCTGAAAATTTCTCCTTATTAGTTCACAAATATCATCCTCATTCTATTTTAATAGAAGAATGTGAACTGTGTGGATGTACCAACTTTAATTCAACTGCTATCTTAGGTTTCCAATATTTTTCAAAGACAATGAATAATCTTGTGAATATGTATTTTCATATTTTTGGAGGTGTTATCTTCAAGAATAATTCCTAGGAATGTGGTCACTAAGTCAAATTGTAAACATATATGTAATGACTTTAGATATTGCTAAATTTCACCCCATAAGGGTTGTAGCAAATTTTTTTACTGCCAACCTATGTCTCCATTTCCTCGCCAAGGAGTACTGTTATTCTTTTTAATTTTTGATCATTTAACAGGTGAGAGCACATTAGTGTAATTTAAATTTGCATTTTTCTTCTCATGAATGAAGTTGAACACTTATTCATACATTTAAGATTATTTTTACCTATTTTTTGTAAAGTGATTTTTAAAAAAAAAGAACTGAAATATTCTGTTTTGCCAGCATGATAAATATAGTCTTAAAATGCTGATTTCTACTTCTCTAAGTAGTGTATACACGTTACAGTTACTGTTGATAGTGCAATTATATAATGAAATTATAACAATGGTTTGTTATTTTGTAACTGAAGCTTGCACATCTTAAAGGCAAATAGCTTAACATTTATAATTCAAAAGCCAGTACTAGGGTGGGAAATTGGCCAATTCCTTCAACAGGCATTGTCAATTCTAAATTAAGAGTATTGGCTAAATAGTTGACACTAAGTAATGACATTTATTGCAGAATTTTAATGAGTATGTTAGGTGTTGGTCATCCTAGGACAACTGCTTGAAATAGCTCTTAGAAAGTATAGAAATGTTTCACTGTTTAAGGTATTGTGCTGACAAATTAATTAGCAAATAATTGTGCCATGAAACTAACTCCAGTGTTCTGTGTTAGCATTTACTTGCCTCTATTTGAAACTATCCATTGTTTGCTATTTATTCAAATAGTTTCAGTTCTAGTAATTGCATGTTTATTTTTGTGGATGCAAATGATGTTTTGTTTGTGGTGTGCATATTTGTGTGTGTGTGTCTGTGTGTGTGTGTTATCAACAATCTAAAGGTTTCCAGACACAAATATTCCATTAATCAAAACTGATTCTAGAGGATTAGCTGCCAAAATGTAAGAGTATTTGCAAAATACTTTGTCTTTGAACTTATATGTAGAAAGGGCAGTTTTAAAAGCCTCTTTGTCCATTTAAAGGCACTGTAGTGTTAAAATTTTCTACAATGTTCATCCGATAGAAAATCAAAACAGATGATTTGAATCAAATTGTGCATTTCTGGAAACCTTACTGTCAGAAGAACACGATAGTAGATTTCTAATAAATAATAAATAATTATACATGTTAAATTCCTAAGATTTTTTTTTTTATGCAGTGTTCTGGTGTCATGATTATAATTTATTTTATTAGGTAGCCCTAATAATTTGCTTCATTTGCATTTGTTGTTCCTGAGCTGGAAATTTGATAGGGGTAATTTTTTTGTTCCCAATGTTTTGATAAGCACTTAAAATCATTTATTAAAGAAATATCTTGATCCATTGAAGTTTTAGATTTTATGAGATCAATTTCCTTGCTAATTGTCTGATACATGTTCTGAATGTCTGACCAAATGTATTATGTGGCTCATATTTACAAGATGTCTTCTAATTTTCATTGTTTTCAATTTTTAAAAATTTAAGACGCTTATTTCTTTGGAGTTTGATTTTGTCTTTATAGGATTTTTCTTTTCTTATCTCCAAAATATAAGTGTCAATCATGATTTACTCTATTTGACATTGATCTGAAAGATTAGAAAGTAATAACATAGTTTCATTCTAAATGTGCAGAATGTGAATATGAATATATTTTCAAAACGTAAATAATGAAAGAAACTGAATTTTAAGTTTTTGTTTTCAAAATAGCTTTTACTTAAAATATTTGAAATCCCATTAAAATATAAATCATTTAATATATAATACATGTAAAATATTTTATGATATATTTACATTATACATATTATAGATTACATGGTAGATATCATATGATATCTAACATGTAATAAAATTTTAAGTCAAAGCAATTTTGACAGCTGAATTTGGAAATTTAGTAAATTTGAAAATTTAATTTTTCAAAATACTTTTATAAAAATAAAACTATTCTCAATTCTATTTGCTCATATAATAATTGTTAGCCTGCAACTGAGGAGTACCCAGGGACCCCAAACTACTAAGGGTTATACACTTTAAAAGAGATAATGTTGTCACTACACAAGGTCAAAGGAGCAGACTCTTATTGTGAGACATCTTTAATAGAATTAGTGTGCACAGAGAGAAAAGAAAAGATAAACCTAATAATAGTTTCCCAATAAACCCCTCAAAATTATCCATGTCCTTGTGGGGAAATGCCCTATTAAACAGGGTCAACCTGAAACAAGGCTTCCAAGCACAAAAGCTTGCCACAAATCTGAGGTTCCTTCCAGTGGGAGGAAGGGTAAGAAAAGGGATATCCCACAGAAAGGGATAAGGCCAATCTGGGACAAAAAGACCAAAGTCGAAGTAAAAATCAGCATAGTGGTAGCCTGTTGTGTCGGGACATCACCACACTGACAAAAGGGAGTCATGGAGCAGGTTGCACAATGCAGGATGCTGCTGAAGAGCAAGATCCTGGCCCTTTTATTAACACATGTAATTGATTGTAAGGAGATTAAAGAAAGGGGAAGGGTGTTGAAGATTACGGATTGTGAGTCTGCCCTCCAGGCACTTCTAATCTACTTGA